ACTTGGCCAAAATGGCATTGGGACTCCAGGCCTCTGGATCCCAATGCCGTATTGTCTCTGTTACATCGTTCTGTTTCCTGTTTTTCCCATATAGACTTCCCATCAAAATATGTTCCCACCACATCTCTGGGGCTTTGTTAACACCATTTTTCTAGCTCTCGACCTTTTCCCATAATAAATAGGTAAGAGTGCAAAGAGGAAAGACAGCTCTCCCAGCCCCCCACCCTGACTTGGCTCAAATTCCACTTATTTCAGGACTGCCCTAAGAGGAGAGAGCCGGGCATCCAGCCATTTGGAGGATGCCAGGAACCAGTGGGCCAGAGGGGCACCAGAAACTGCACACCAGCTATGGGGCAGTCTGTCTCTTTCCTGGGACAGTGCCCACACCAGGGCCTCCAAGGACCGTCGCGGGTCTGAGCCTGGTAGGTGTAATTATAACGAAAATCGTGTGATTATAGTTACCTAATTACCACGTGTGGAAGACTCCAGAGAGGAAAAGCCCAGACCTGCCATTAAGAGAGGAAGCTCAGGGCTGGGCCCCAGAAGGAGAAGGGGCGCCCGAGCTTCCCAGGCTCTGTCGCGGGTGAAAGACGGGATGGCAGAACAGAAAGGAAGGGCCTGGGTGGTTCTGGGCAAATCACTTCAACTGTCCTGAGCCTTGAGGGTTTGGGCTTTTTAGAAAATCCCTCAGTTCAGTCTACCAGTCTATCTATAAGGGGGTCCCCCTCCCTTATCTTGCCTGCCTTTCACGGCCAAACTGGGAAGAAGCTGTCTACATGCTATTCTCCCATTTTCTCTGAGCTCACTCACTTCTCTTATGATCGATCAACCGACCAGAGCTTCCAACCTCGTCACTCGACTGGAACTGCTCCCTCCCAGGTCACCAGAGATCATTTAATCGTCCAGTCTAATGACCTTTTCTTCATCTTCATCTCTTTGACTTTGCTGCCTCTGATCAGGTGTTTAGACAGAGATAGGGAGAGATAGAGGAGACAGAGGCGAGAGAAAGAGGAGAGAGAGAAGAGATAAGAGAGAAGAGAGAAGAGAGAGACATAGAGAGAGATGAGAGACAGAGACAGAGAGAGGAGAGGAGAGAGACAGAGAGATATGAGAGAGACAGAAAGGAGAGAGAGACATAGAGAGCCCTGAGGGACACTCCAAAGAAAGAGGCGGAGACATAGATGATAATCCTATGAAGGAGACTGAGATGGGGAGGCAGAATCTAGGAGATGCAGTGTCGGGAAAACCCAGAGAAGAGAGATGATCCGGGAGGAGGTGACTGACAGGATCAGAGGCAGCAAAGTCAAAGAGATGAAGATGAAGAAAAGGTCATTAGACTGGACGATTAAATGGTCTGTGCCTGCTACCAAGCCAGCATGGCCAGCATCCATGGAGGAAGACACAGAGCCCCTCTGTGCAGCAGCTTCAGAAAAAGCTGGAACAAGGGGAAGGACCACCAAGCCTCAGATGGGCGCCCGGGCTTTGTGCCCTGTCGGTTTGTAACATGGCCCGGTTTGGTGTAGCAGATGGTACTTCCTGGCCTTGTAATCCAGAAGACCTGGGTTTGAATTCTACCTCAGACACTGTGTGACCTTGAGCAAGTCACTTCTCCTCTGTTTCCTCATCTGAGAAATGGGATAATAACAGTACCTATCTCTCAGGGCTGTTGTGAGGATCTAATGAGATCCTATTTGTAAGGTTCTGTGCAAACCTCAAGTGCTCTATGAATGCCAGCTCTTCTCTTAATTGACTATTAACACACCAAGTGCAAGGGGTGACAGGTGACACAAGACACATTTTAAATATTAATAACTGATATCTTTGCAGTTCTTTAAAGTCTACAAAGCCCTTTCCACCCTGTGGTGCATTTAAGCCCATGTGTAATACAGGTATTATTATCTCCATTTTCCACACGAGGAAACTGAGGTTCAGGGAAGTCCAGTGACTTGCCAATGATCAATCCATCAGTCAATTAGCAAGCGCTGATTAAGGGGATTCCAGGTGCTGTCCCAGGCACTGGGGTTGCCCCTGGGCACACAGGCAGTCAGTGCCACCACCAAGATTCAAACCCAAGTCTTCGACTTTGGCATCTATCAGGGTACTGCAGGAAAAGCAGGGGGCTTAGGGGCCGGAGAGGGGGAGTCAGACCTGAAAAGGCAAAGAACCTGAAGGGAAAGCACAAAAAGGAATGCCAAGGGGAGTGAGCAGATGCAGAGCATGTACACAGCCAAGGAAACAACCCCCAGCAAAAGACACAGAAGGAAAAAGAGATCCGAAGGAAATACCAAGACAAGACAATGCTCTCGTTGATTGGGCAGAGTTAACACACTCCCCTGTTAGAACACTGAGGGTCAAAGACTGAAAGAAAAGTCCTGTTATGCCAGACAGGTTCCTATGTGGGTGTATGAGTGTGTGTATGAGAGTGAATGTATATATAGGTGTGTATGTGAATTGTGTGTGTGTGAGGGAGTGTGTGTGATATGAATGTGTGTATGTATGAGGGAGTGTGTGTGTTTGAGTGTGTATGAGTGAGCATGTCAATTTGTGTGTAAGTGTACGTATGAGAGAGTGTGTGTATATGTATGTGAGTGTGTGTATGTATGAACAAGTGTGTGTATAAGGATGTATGTGAATGTGTATGAATATGTGTGAGTGTATGTATGAGGGAGTATGTGAGTGTGTATATATGTCAATATGTATGAGTGTGTGAGGGAGTGTATATATGTATGTATGAGTATATGTATGAGAGTGTATATGAATGTGTGTGAGTGTGTGCATGTGTGTGTGTGTGTGTGTGTGTGTGTGTGTATGGCTGTAAAAAACAGTAAACAAATAGGGTGTCCATCAATCGGCTAAAACAAAATGGCCGAACAAATTGTGGTCCTTGGATGCAATAGAATATGACTTCTGTGAGAAACAGAGTAGCAGGAATTCAGAAGGATATGGGAGAGAAGAGTGAAGCCGCCCAACACCATTACCTCTCCTCTTGCTCTGGTTTCCACGCCCCTCCCCTGTCTGAAAGCTGGCCCTCTCCCAGGTCCCCAGCACTCTCTTCCTGGCCAGACCTGGTGGCTATTTGTCCACCCACAC